GCGGGGCCGCAGGTAGGAGCGGGGGGTGCGGGGGGACCCGGGGCGGAGACCCTCCAATGGGGTGCGGGGGGGTCCCTGGGGTGCTGGGGACAGGGTCCCTGTAGAGCAGGGAGGTGTCCCCTGCAGAGGACAGGGACTTTGAGGGGAGGGTTGGCCCCACGGTGATGGAGGAGCAGGGACCCCATAGGGGTTGAGGGGTCTCTGGGGTGCTAGGGGGGCAGAGACCCCCGCTGGAGTGCTGGGGACAGAGACCCCGTAGGGGGTGGGTGTGTGGCCTGGACGCTGGAGGAGCAGGGGCCTATAGGGTGCTGTCACTGTCCCCCATAGGGTTGGGTTTTGTGGGGGGTCTCTAAAGTGCTGGGGGGGTGAAGACCCCCCATGGGGTGCGGGAGGGGCCTTGGGGTGCTATGGACAGGGACCCTGTAGGGGGTGTGGGGGTCCTAGCATACTGGAGGAGCAGGGGCCCTATAGGGTGCTGTCACTGTCCCCCATAGGGTTTTGGGGCGTCCCTGGAGTGCTGGGGGCACAGAGATCCCCCTATAGGGTAGCAGGGGTCCCTGTAGTGCTGGGGGGGCAGAGACCCCTCTATAGGGTTTTGGGGGGTCCCTAGAGGGCTGGGGGCACAGAGATCCCCCTATAGGGTAGCAGGGGTCCCTGTAGTGCTGGGGGGGCAGAGACCCCTCTATAGGGTTTTGGGGGGTCCCTAGAGGGCTGGGGGCACAGAGATCCCCCTATAGGGTAGCAGGGGTCCCTGTAGTGCTGGAGGGGCAGAGACCCCTCTATAGGGTTTTGGGGGTTCCCTGGAGTGCTGGGGGGGCAGAGACCCCCCTATAGGGTAGCGGGGGGTTCCTGGAGTACTGGGGAGAGGGATCCTGTAGGGTGTGGGTGTGTGTCCCAGGACGCTGGAGGAGCACGGCCCTATAGTGTGCTGTCACTGTCCCTCGTGGGGTTTTAGGGAGGGTCTCTAAAGTGCTGGGGGGGTGAAGACCCCCCATGGGGTGCGGGAGGGTCCTTGGGGTGCTATGGACAGGGACCCTGTAGGGTGTGGGTGTATGTCCCAGGACGCTGGAGGAGCACGGCCCTATAGTGTGCTGTCACTGTCCCCCATAGGGTTGGGTTTTGTGGGGGGTCTCTAAAGTGCTGGGGGGGTGAAGACCCCCCATGGGGTGCGGGAGGGTCCTTGGGGTGCTATGGACAGGGACCCTGTAGGGTGTGGGTGTATGTCCCAGGACGCTGGAGGAGCACGGCCCTATAGTGTGCTGTCACTGTCCCTCGTGGGGTTTTAGGGAGGGTCTCTAAAGTGCTGGGGGAGTAGAGACCCCACTATGGGGTAGAGGGGTCTGCAGGGCACTGAGGACAGAGACCCCATAGGGCTTGGGGGGGTCTTTCTTGAGGACAGGGACCCTTTTGGGCACTGGCACTGTCCCCCATAGGGTTTTGGGGGTCCATGGAGTACTGGAGGGGCAGAGACCCACCATGGGGTGGTGGGGACAGGGACAGAGACACCCACCCTATGTAGTGGTGGGGGTCCCCCAGGTGCTGGGAACAGCCCCACCATGGCTTCAAGGTGCTTTACTGCCCAAGAGCTGCCAAAGTGTGGGTCCCTCCCCACATCAATATCTTCACTTCATCCTAAAGCTCATTTCTTTTAAAAACGAGGTAAAATAAGGGCAGGGGAGCTGAGAGTTGGATGGTGCAGGGACATGTCTGGAACCCGAGGGGGTTGGGAGGCGTTTCTCATGAACCCACAGAACGATCACAAACCTCACCACACGCTTTATTAAAGAAAGATATTGCCGAGACGGCAGAAATAAAACCATCATTGTGACTCACGCAGCAACCCAGGAGCAACTCAGAAAATATAAATCACCCAGCTCATTCTGTTCTTATTTCTCCCGAGACTGGAGGAGTCTGGGTGGGTTTTCGGTGTCTGCTCCCCCATCCTGGCTCCCCTGAAAGGAGCAGGAAGAGTTTTAATCCCACATAGAAGTGCAAAAAGGGGATTTTTTTTGTCCAAACTATTGAGGATTTTAAGGAGGAAAACGGTCCTGAGGAGGGCGGTTGGGTGTCGGGTGTGGAGGAGTTGAGGAGGAGGTGTTTTTTCTGGGGAGGAGGCCCTTGGCCAGGTCCCAGCGCACCTCCCAGCGCAGGGCCGCCCTCTTCTTCTCGGTGGGGACGGTGTAGGCGTTGGGGACGTAGGGGTGCTGTGGTTTGCTGGGCAGCTGGGGCCTGCAGAGCATCTGCTCCCGGATGCCCCAGCGCAGTTCTCGCCGCTCGTCCTCCCCCGGGATCCGGAACTTCCCCCATTCTCGTTTATATTCAAAGTATTTGGCCACCGGGTCGGTTTTTCCCCGGTTTCGGCCCAACGGTTCAAAGCGGGGAGGAATGAAGGATTTGGGCTGTCCCGCCACGGTGCTGTACTGAGAAGCGGGAGAGCTCTGGCGGTCGAAATCCTCAAGAAGAAAGGGGGGACTGTCCCCACTGTCATCGAGGGAGCTGCTGCTGCTGCTCTCGAATTCCCCCTCGGAGATGCTCTCCTCGGGGCTGCTCCTCGGCTGCAGCAGATTCTGCCTCTGGCTGCCACGCTCAGTGTCGCTCTCCGTCTCGCTGGTCACCGACTCATCCCAGACCTCAACCCCTCCATCGGGTCTGTGCCTCAGCACCTTCCTTTTCATTACCAACCTCCTGGATCCCCTCCGCTCCCCGGGAAATGTAGGGGGGGGCAGCTGCACCCCCAAAGCCGGGGAGGCCTCGGTATAGAGATGCTGGCTGCCCCCTCGCTGGGGGTACAGCCGGCTCAGGGCCAGCGTGGCCGCCAGCTCTTCCTCCTCCTCCACTCCCAGTGCCTCCTCCATGATTTCCAGCAAAATGTGCGAATCCTGCAAAAACATAAACCCCCACAGTTAATTTCTTGCAGCACGTTTGAGCTAAAGATATAAATGGGGTTTGACTCTCAGCTTCTGGGGTTGAAGAGTGTCGATTTAAGTTGGGGTGGATCAGAAGGGGGTCTGGGAACGTTAAACCTCCCCCCCACCGGCAGAAGGCTCTTTCCCTACAGCAAATGGAAATGCAGCTGGAAAGCCCCCTCCAAGGCAACCCCAACATTCCTGCTTGAAAATGATGCTAAAATCGATTACGCGATACAGAAAGTACTAACGGGATGATGGACAAACACTGAGTGACAGGTAGAGGTGTATAATGATTTTCCACTTCTACCTTTTCTTTTAAAAACACAGTATCTAGCCATGATTTAGTTTAAGGAGAGATTTAATTAGAGGTGTATGATTTTTCCCCTTCTACCTCTTCTTTTAAAAATCACTATATCTAGTTGTAATTTAACCTGGGGAGAGATTTAATCTACACCCAGAGGGGAGAAGGCTCAGCACAGCCTTTAGGTGCTTTTTTATATGTTGTCTATCAAAGCCCAAAGACTCTTTTAATCTGCTCAAATCTGCAGCGAAAAGGGATCCGGGCCCGGTTTCCACCCCCTCCACAGGTTTGGGATATCTTTAAGGGTTGGAAAAAAAAAAAAATAAAAATGCAAGTTTTCATGGCGCGGTTCGGAAATGTTGGAGCAGATGGTGCGGCGGGATGAGTGGCAGCCGTTAGCGGGCTGTCTGAAGTGTTGATGCTGGCTGAGCGCGGTGTGAAAATGGAAAGGGCTCCGTGACGGCTCCGGCGCGGGTAGCAAAAGGCCAGCAGGGAACGTGCCGCTGCCGTGCCTGGGCTGACAGAGCAGGTCCCATCCCGCGGCCAGGGGAAGGAGTGATTCAAAAGTGCCAAAAAAGAGACTTGAGTAAAGCGAAGCTGGCCCAGCTGAGCTGCCTCGGCCCTTCCCATGCTCTGCTAGGAACATTGAGGAGTTAAAAATACAAAGAGTTATTCTGCTGGTAAAAATGATTTTAGAGCAAGCCTCTTGGTGTAATAAAAACCACATAAAGATGCAAAACCCTGATTTCTTTCTTTCCCTGCAGACCCCGAGCAACTAATTAAGGCTCCAAGACAGTGGCCATGGCTGAGGGAAGCACGGCTACCAACGAAGAGCAACTCCTGAAGAGGGTGCAGGAGCTGGAAGAGGAGGTGAAGCGGCTGCAGAATAAGCTCCAGGAGGACAAGGAGAGGAGTGGGAAAAGAGAGGCTCCTCCAGCTCCTGGGAAAGCCAAGAAACGCCAACAACGGCCATTTGATTTTGGTGCTTACGGACGCAGGCACGTTGCACTGAAGATTGCCTACCTGGGCTGGGGCTACCAGGGCTTTGCCAGCCAGGAGAACACCAGCAACACCATCGAGGAGAAGTTGTTTGAGGCCTTGAAGAAGACGCGGCTGGTAGATGAGAGACAGACCTCCAACTACCACCGCTGCGGGCGCACGGACAAAGGAGTCAGCGCCTTCGGACAGGTCAGGATCCCCCCAGGCTTTCCCGGATTTCTGGGCTCCTCTGTGGGACGGTGATCCAGTGGGATGGTGATCCAGTGGGATCACTGTCCCTCAGTGACAGCACAGGTTGGATTCATTTTTTTTTAAAAGCCATCAGCTTTTAAATCCGAAAGCGAGCCTGGCGATGGCTTCCTGCACGCAGAGTGACGGTTTTAGACCCTCAAAGTGTTGATTAGTGTTTGCTTTTTTTCCTGTGTCAGTGCTTGGTTTTTTCCGGGGCCTGTTTTGAGAGGATAAAATGTGTTTTAGGCTGCAGCTTCCCCAATAGCTTAGCACTGCCAAAAAAAAAAAAAAGGGGAGATGCCCCTTTCTTGGCAGAGCCCTCTCAGCTGATTTAACTTATTAACCCCACCAAAAAAAAAAACCCAAAAAATAAACCCAAGAACTGGATAGCTTCCTGAGGAGTCAGGCAGCTGAATTCCTGCGCAGAAGGGGCTGAGGGGAGCTGCAGCGAGCGGAAGGGAGCGTGGGAGTGGGAGCTGGAGGGAGAGGAGCGAGTCGGCCGGCTGAGTGGGCACGGAGCCATCGGGGAGAGCACAGCCCTTCCTGCGCTGCAATGGCTTTGCTCTTGGGCCAGTCTCTCCTTCCCTCCTGCCTCAGGAAGCGGAGCTGGCTTAGATTTTGGCTCGAGTGGGCTGTCTGCTGTCCTTCACAAGATGAGCCGCAGGGAGTAAAGGCAGGGATGGCCTTTTCTTGCGCTGTGTCAAGTGCACAGGCACCTGCAGTGTTAATTAACCAGGTGTCCCAGACAGCCAGGATGTTGCTGCCTTCAACTCCAGCAAAAAGGAAAAAAAAAAAAAAAAACACATTATATCCTAAAAAAACAGTGACTAAAGCTGAAGCTGTTCCGAGATCATGCTACGTAGGCAGTCTGCAACTTTCTCTGTTTTATTAAAGGAATCCGTAGCATCTGCTCGGATCCTCAGCAGAGGCACTTGCAGCTCTACCCGCAGGAAGGAGGGGTAAGATCGCCTGATTTAAAACACCTTCATCTGTAGGAGATCCTGAATTTATTTCACAGTGGTGTAGGAAGATGTGGCTTGATACGCCAAATCCACCCATCTGCCATCTAATCCTGGCTTCCCTCCCTGTGCAGGTGATTTCCCTCGATCTCCGTTCCAACCTGGCAGAGGGGAAGAAGCTAAACGGCCATGACTCGGAAGGCAAGAGCGAGGGGGAGGAGGAGCTCCGCTACACCCATATTCTGAACAGGGTGCTCCCACCCGACATCCGTGTCCTGGCCTGGGCCCCCGTGGAGCCTGATTTCAGTGCCCGGTTCAGCTGCCTCAAGAGGACTTATCGGTATTTCTTCCCCTGTGCCAACCTGGATGTCGCCCTCATGGACGCTGCAGCCCAGAGGTACGTGGGGACCCACGATTTCCGTAACCTGTGTAAAATGGACGTCGCCAACGGGGTGGTCAACTTCCAGAGAACGATCCTCAGTGCTGGAGTGACGTGGGTGGAGAGAGGAGTTGAAACTGGGCCACAGGATCCCTTCCGTCTGTGCCAGTTTGAAGTGACGGGACAGGCCTTCCTGTATCACCAAGTCCGCTGCATGATGGCCATCCTCTTCCTCATTGGGCAGAGGATGGAGAGGCCGGAGATCATTGACGAGCTGCTGGATGTGGAGAAGAATCCCCAAAAACCACAGTACAGGTATGGAGAGCTTGGGAAAACCTCCTGGGCTGCTTTGCAAAGTGAAGTGCTGCTGGCAAACCACATCTCTGCCAGCCTGCAAAGTCTCTCACAATACAGAAGGAAGCTGCCAGCAGCCTCTCTGGGAGGTATGCATAAGAATCCTGCTTTTCTTGCTCTTGGACAAGCTTTCGATGCCTTTAGTCCTTGGCGTTTGTTAAACTAATTCAGTTTTTAGTGGAAAAAGCTTTGTAAAAGGGCAGTTTTAGGCAGAAGGGACAGGCTGATGCACTGCTGCATGAGGTTTTTTTTGTCACAGCATCCCTCCAGACAGCTCCGGGTAACACCTGCTCTCCTTTTCCCTAGCATGGCAGTTGAGTTTCCCCTCGTCCTGTACGACTGTGCCTTCGAAAACCTCCAGTGGCTCTATGACCAAGAAGTGCAGGAGTTCAACGTCACCCACCTGCAGCAGCTCTGGGCCAACCACGCAGTCAAAACTCAAGTGCTGCGGAACATGTTGGGAGGGTTAGACACTGCTCCCATGGTGACCAGAGAAAGTAAGGGATTGCGGCAATACCTCGGGATGGGGGTAATTAAACAAAACCACTGATGTTTTCTCAATTATATCACAGGCTCGGGGAACAGCACGACCGTCCCCTGGGGAGAGATGAAGCCTCCACTCTGCAGCCAGGTCAGCAGCTTTGTGGAAGGTGTTCAAGCTCGCACCTACAAGCCTTTACTGACCCGTCCCAAGTGCCAGGGGCTGGAGGCCCGAATCCGCCACTTCGTGCGGAGGGGCCGCATCGAGCCCCCCCAGGACCCGGGGCAGGCGGGGGACATGGATGAAGACAGGGACCAGGAGCCCCTGGAGACCAAGGGTGGCCACCGCCGCCATGCCCCCGGGAACAGCAGTGCCACTCAGCAGCCTCCCAAGAGGGTCTGCGTCGACATCGAGTGACAGGTCACCTTGGTGGGAGAAGGCCAGGTGACCGCTTCACTTATATTTTTTTTTTATTAATTAAGAAAAAAATAGGGAGTTTTCCAGTGCTATTTTTATAAATTTCAAGAAAACTCGAGCTTTTCTGGAGTGCTACTGCGTGCCGATCTGGGAGGGGATGGTGGGGGGTGCCTCGGACCCCTCAGAGCCACTCACCTCGCTGCGGGGGGTGAGTGCTGAGGCTGTACTGGGATATACTGGGATGTACTGGGATATACTGGGATGCACGGGGCTGAGGCAGCCCGGGCCCGCCCGCCTGCGAGGCCTCCCCGCGAGGCCCGCACGCCCCACCCCCGGCACCCGACAGGACTCTCCGAGCCCTGACAGGGCCCATATGTTCCCAACCGGTACCTGACAGGGTCTGGCCGCTCTCGTCCTCCCGCCGCGACCGTTACCGGCCGCCAACCGTCGCCGACCGTTTAAACCACCGACTGAGCCCGCCCCTCGCCCCGTTCCCATTGAGCGGTGCGGCTGTCGCTCGGCTGGCCGCCCCTTTCCGATTGGACGCGCAGGCCGGAGTATCGCCTCCGCGCGGTCGCCATTGGCCCGGAGGGGAAGGAGGGGACGGAGGGAGGAAGATGGCGGCGAGCGGTGGAGGGCGGTGGCGGCAGGCCTCGGCGGGCCTGGCCCGGGCGCTGGGTACCGTCGGCGGCGGGCGAGCGGCAGCGGAGGAGGGCCTGCGGGCTGAGGGGCTGGCGAAGCGGCTGCGGGCGCGGAAGAGCGAGGAGGAGAAGCGAGAGGTGAGAGGAGGATGCCGTGGCGGGCCCTGAGGGACGGGACTACAAATCCCGGCGTGCACCGCGCCCCCCGCCGGACCGGCACACATGGCCGATGTCGGTCTGGGGTCTCCCCTCCCGGCCGTTCCTCCCTCCCCCGCCGGTTTGGTTCTCTCCGCAGACCCCCGGGGACCCAGCGCGGAGGCGGGTGCGGGAACTGGCCGCGCTGAGCAAGCGGCTGCAGCAGGTTCACCCCAACGTCCTGGCCAAAGTGCTCAAGCAGGGGACCCTGTACCAGAACGAGGAGATCGTGGCCATCAACAAACCCTACGGCCTTCCCGTGCACGGTGAGGGAAAGCCGTGGGGGAAACGGCTCCATGGCGCTGAGGGGGGATGACAGGATCGCAGGATTGCTGGGGTTGGCAGAGACCTCAAAGGCCACCCAGCTCCAACCCCCTGCCCTGGGCAGGGACACCTCCCACCAGACCAGGTTGCTCAAAGCTCCATCCAGCCTGGCCTTGAACCCCTCCAGGGATGGGGCAGCCACAGCTTCTCTGGAGCCCCTCTAGGGACTGGAAGGGGCTCTGATGTCTCCCCAGAGCCTTCTCTTCTCCAGGCTGAACCCCCCCAACTCTCTCAGCCTGTCCTCACAGCACTCCCAGCATCTCTGTGGCTTCCTCTGGCCCCGCTCCAACAGGTCCATGTCCTTTTTATGTCTCCAGAGCTGGAGGCAGCACTGGGGGTGGTGTGTCTCCCCAGAGCGGAGGAGCAGAATACCACCCTCGCCCTGCTGGCCACGCTGCTGTGGTTGTACCCCAGGGTGCAGGGGGTTTCTGGGTTGCCAACGCACTTTGCCAGGGCATGTTGAGCTTCTCATCCACCAACACCCCCAAGTCCTTCTCAGGGCTGCTCTCAATCCATTCTCCACCCAGCCAGGATTTGTGCTTGGGGTTGCTCCGTTCCAGGTGCAGGACCTTGCACTTGGCCTGGTTGAACCCAGCTCTCCAGCCTGTCCCAGTCCCTCTGGATGGCATCCCTTCCCTCCAGCGTGTCACCACACAGCTTGGTTTCCGCATCAGTCTTGCTGAGGATGCCCTCACTCGTCACTGGTCGCTACTTGGACATCGAGCCATTGACCACAGCCTTTTGAGTGCAACCATCCAGCCAGTTCCTGATCCATCGAGTGCTCTTTCTGTCAAATTCATGTCTCCTCGGTTTAGAGACCAGGATTTTGTTTGGTATAGTGTTTTGTGCTTTACCCAAGTCCAGGTAGATGATGTCTCTTTCTCTGTCCTCCCTGTGCTGAGGTTTTCCTTCCCAGGGAGAGACACAGGGAGTCTGTCACCGTTAGATCACAGGCTTTGTCTTGCATTTTGGGCATAATTTGGGGAAGATGAATGTCTCCCCTGGTGTCACCAGTCTGTGCATTACGTAGGTGGTCCTGGGATCAAGAATTGCATCGCTGACGTGCTGCCAATTTTGGCCAAGATGTTGGAGAACATGAAAGCTGAACCCCTCCACCTCTGCCACCGGCTGGACAAAGAGACCACGGGTGTGATGGTGCTGGCACGGAACAAGGAGGTGGCAGACAGGATCCGTCTTCTCTTCAAAACTCGTCAGGTGGAGAAGATCTACTGGTAGGAAAGGTTTGGGTGGAGAAGCAGTTTTGAAGGGCCCGTAGGGTTTGAAGAAGGAGCAGAGGGGTAGTTACCAGGGTGTGGAGCTTTGTGGAAGTTGTGGGTGTTTGCTTGTCTTCCCTCAAGCGTCTTTTTATGGAGCTGGGTTGTGGGGAGAGGGGATGAGGGAACGGTTCCCTTCCTGCTGGAGCTCCACAGACCTCTGCTTTCCCTCCCCAGGGCCATTAGCCTGGGGGACCCAGACCCCGCTGAGGGCATTGTGGAGATCCCCATCGTGGAGAAGGAGGTGCGGAGCCACCAGTCACACTACAAGGTGAGCCACGTGTCCTCTGGGCCACCGTTTTGGCCTCGTGCTCCCCGGCATCCCCTCCTGCCTTCCCGTGGGCTCACCCTCTCACTGCTGTTCAGATGACACTGGCCCCCAACTACCGCCTGTCTCCGGAGGACGGGAAGGTGGTGAAAATCCGCAAGAACCGCAACGCCGAAATCGCTGTGACGCGGTACCGCCGACTGGCTACCTCCTCCGCCTGCTCCCTGCTGGAGCTCCAGCCCATCACGGGTGAGGCCTGGCTGGGTGTCCCTGGGGTTGTGTGGGCTACTGGTCTGCTTTGTGTGCAGCTCGGCAGCCAAGAGCAGCGCTAGAAGCGGGAATGCGTCATTATACACAACTGAAATCCTTTTTTGGGCTAAGGCTCTGGGAATGAGCCGCTCTGGGGTGATGGTTTGCTGCTGGAGATTTTGGCAACGGTCACGTTTCTCCTCTTCCCCTTCCTTCCTCAGGGGTGAAGCACCAGATCCGGGTTCACCTGGCCTATGGGTTGGGGTGCCCCATCCTGGGGGATCACAAATATTCGCACTGGAGCAAGCTGGCACCCCAGGTAAGGTGGGTCCTGTCTCGGAGGGGGATCCAGGGCTGGGTGGTCCCTTTGTGTCCCACAGCCCTCCCTGGGCTGGGGTTTTAAAGGCCAGGGTGAGGATTGTGGAAGTGACATTTTTTGCCCTCATCGCAGAAACTTCCTGAAATCACCTTGAAGAGGCTGAAGCTGGAGCAGAGCAAGGCTCGTCACCTCCCCCTCCACCTCCACGCCCACCGGCTCTCCCTGCCCCTGGGCCAGCGGATAGACCTCATCTGCAAGCTGCCCCCCTTCTTCCAAAAAACTCTGCAGAAGCTGGAGCTGGACATTGCTAATGAGTAACAAGGCAGGACCGACTGTCACCACATCTCCAGCATTTGGCAGCGGTGGATCCAGCTGCTCTGTAGCAGTGTCCGCCTTGGAGCCAGCAGTGTGATGAAGCCTGGGGTCTCTGTCGCCTGCCAGAGCCCTCCTCTGTCAGTACTGGTGTTACTGGCTTCAAACCAGGTACCTGCGTGAGCTTCCTGCCCAATTTGGTGCAGAGAAGTGGCTGGGTGTGCTGAAGAGACTTTTAATGGGACAAATGGGGCAAGGTAGGAGCTGGGCTTTGCCCCATCTGTGTTTTGAAGTTGTCTCTGAGCAATAAAAGATCCAGTTCCTCCTGAGGTGAAGGGTTGGTGTCTCTCTGTGCTCGGGCCAGGCAGATCTCAGTCCCTGGGCAGGTTTAAGCGTCCCTGGGTGCAGTCCCTCCCGGCTTGAGGACCGTTACTCACCCCTCCAGGGCTGTTCAGCAGCCTCTCCCTCATGCCCTGGCATTCCACGCTCAAATCTGGAGACTCCCTTCATTCAAAAATCCATCGAAAGTGCAATTTGGCAGCGGCTGTGGGGTTTTTGTGCTGTGCCCAGAGACTGCACGGGGAGTTCCCCCACTCGGCTTGGCTGAGCAGCTCCGGGACTCCCTCCGCTCTGCACTGCCAGCAGTGTCAGCAGGGGTTTTGGGGGGTGACTACGCTGCCGGGCAAAACTTTATCCCACTGCCCCTTCCGATTTCCCTCTTGCTTATTCTAGGTCTTTTTATTTGGATCCCTCTCGGGAGCTTGGCTTGGAGCCGGGTTCCTTCCCCCGTGTCCCAGCGTGGGGCGAGGGATGAGTTTGAAAAGCTGAGGAACCGCAGCTGATGTTCTGCCTCAAAAATTGCAGCCACCAGCGTTGGGTGTCTCTTGGCCTGTCCCCAAAAGCTCAGGGCTGGCGGCAGCTTTGGGAGCAGGAAAGGGTTCTTTGTACCCCACAAGGCTGGGGCTTTCAGTAGGGTAATGTCCTGTCCACTGCCTCCCCGCTCCTCACACAGGGCGAAAATAGCCGGGGAGCCCCACACCCCTTGGAAGTGCCACCAGAAATACATCTGCTTATGAGAGAGGGATGTAAAACCACGAGGAGCCGGGGAGCTACAGCTGGGCAGGAATGCTCCCTTCCCAGCCCGGTGCCGCTGCTGCTGGGGTGGGGTTTTTTTTCTATTTTGGGGCAAGCTATTTGTGAAAAGGCTTCCCCCTGTAATTACCAGCCGATTTAATGCACTGTCTAAGCTGTCATTTGCAGCTGCTTGGTACAGAGTGCTTGGCAAGCGGTGCCTTCAGCCCCACAAAGTTGCTTCTCGCACCTCAGACGACACCAGAGCACCCGGGCAGCAGCAGCAGCAGCAGCAGTCGCCGTCGTCTCCTCTTCCTCACTAGCAAAATGTCCCTCTCGCACACGGCTGCCGAGTACATGCTCTCCGACGCTCTCCTCCCCGATCCCGGCGGTTCCCGAGCCAAGGGCCTGCGGCTGGAGCTGCCGAGCGATCGCCTCCTGAAGTTCGTCACCGTGGGGCTGCCCCTCTTCCTCGTCTCGTTGGCTTTCGCCCGGGAGTTCTCTGCCGGTGAGTCCCCGCTTTGGCGACAGGGATATTTGGGACAGGGGGGGTGCTCACCGGCAGTGTTTCACTGAATGTTTAGAGTTGGAAGGGACCATAGAGACCATCTAGTCCAACTCCCCTGCTGAAGCAGGACTGCCTAGAACTTGTCAGAGCATGTTACTCAGGAGCATCCAGGCGGGGCTTGAAAATCTCCAAAGAAGGGGACTCCACACCCTCCCTGGGCAGCCTGTTCCAGGGCTCTGCCACCCTCACTGGAAAGAAGTTTCTCCTCCTATTTGAGTGGAACCTCTTATGTTCCAACTTGTGCCCGTTGCCCCTCGTCCTCTCACTGGGAACCACTGAAAAGAGTCTGGCTCCCTCCTCCTTCAACCCTCCCTTGAGATACTTGTCAGCATTGATAAGGTCTCCCCTCAGCCTTCTCTTCTCCAGACTAAAGAGTCCCAGCTCTCTCAGTCTTTCCTCATAAGGGAGATGCTCCAATCCTTGAATCATCAAACCCTTGAGTGTAGGTTTGCCCTATTCACACCAGTGTGATTGTGGTCTGAGGCGGGGCAGCCTGGAAATGCCATTTTAGGAACCGTTCTGTTTTGGGGATATTTCTTGATGGATTTTAATGGATTATGGGTTGCTGGGAAAGCCTGGGAGCAGCTGTGCTAAGCCCCAGGACTGGCGGTGAATTGATGCCCCACCTCGGCTGCTTGCCCCCAGCACCTTTGGGTGCCGCATGGCTCCTTCCAAGCTGGAGGAGGAGGATGCTGGCAGGGCACCTGAGGGAATATGTCCTGCTGGTGTTTGCCAGGCAGCACAGAGGGTTGCATTGATGCTGTCTCCTGACCTCAGGCTAAATCTGGCCTCAGCTGACATCCTGTTGCTGCCCCTGGGGATTTGGTTTGACTCCGGTTTCTGGCCAGTCTCTAATTCCACCCCGCTGTGTACCCACAGCCATGCTCAAAGGGTTTGTGTTTGGGAAGTGATGGAAAAGTCCTTGCTGGAGAAGGCAGCGGTGAGGAAGGACACATCCAAAATGAGTGTGAAAAAGGCCTTTTGAATTCAAAGTGATGCCTTAGGTGTACTCACCCTCCTGTAACTTGCGGGCACCCAGCTGCGGAGCGCTTGCCCATGCTCAGCAGAGCTGTGTGGCTGAGGTCCCCCCTTCTCCTCACCCTAGGCTCACAGATCAGCTGCTTCTCGCCCACCAACTTCACGGGGAAGCAGTCTGCCTATGTCGACACAGCTTGCTGGGACTCCCTCCTCCACCATGGCTTCGACGCCGAGGGACACGCAATCACCAAGTCCCTCTGGGCTCTCAAGGTATGGCTCAAGCTCACATCTGGGTGCCCTCAGGTCCCACCTGGGTGAGCAGCAGAGGTGAAACTACTCAGCGCCCGCTTGTCTCCTTCTCCCAGGTCTTCCCCTACTCACTGCTGGTGGTGGCAGTTCTCATGTACCTGCCCTACCTGCTGTGGCGTTACGCAGCCGCCCCAGCCCTCCACTCTGACCTCCTTTTCATCATCGATGAGCTGGACAAATCCTACAACCGCTCCGTGCGCCTGGTGCAGCACATGAGGAAGGTCCAGCAGGCCAGCACCGAGCCGGAGCGATTCTGGGAGGAATACGAGAGGTGAGGCCACCGACTGGTCACCGTGTTCCTCCCTAATCCCTCCATGTGGTGTGGCTGTGGCCACGTTCAGGGTGGACTTCGGTGAAGCGACTCGGTTTGGGGGGTGTCCCTAAGTCCCCACTGTGTCCCCTCTGCCCCCAGGGCTCGCCGGGAGAGGTATTTTGAGTTCCCGTTGCTGGAGCGCTACCTCACCTGCAAACAGCACGCCCATTCCCTGGTGTTCATCTACATCCTGAGGAACCTGCTGCTGCTCTTGTTCTTGGCTGCCACCTGCCTCTACCTGGTCTTCCTCCACCTCAACATCTTCTTCCAGGATGAGTTCAACTGCTCCATCAAAACGGGGCTGCTCCAGGAGGAGCCCCACATCCCCCCGCTCATCCCCTGCAAGCTGGTCTTCTTCTCCGTCTTCCAGCTCATCAGCCTCTCGGTTGGGGGCATCTATGTCCTCCTCATGCCTGTTGTCATCTACAACGCCCTGCAGCTCTGCCAGTGGGACAAGGGGCTGCTCTCCATTTATGAGATGCTGCCCGCCTTTGACCTCCTCAGCCGCAAGATGCTCACCTGCCCCGTCAATGACCTCAACGTCATCCTCCTCTTCCTCCGGGCCAACATCTCCAAGCTGACCTCCTTCGGCCGCCTCAATGCCGTCAGCGCCTTGAGGGAAGCCACCGCCAACAAGGAGGACATTGACACCGTCGTTGACTTCATGACGCTGCTGGCCGGGCTGGAGATCACCAGGCCCAAACCCCCCGAGGCCGACGGCAGCGTGTTCCTCCCCAACGGTGGAGCTCTAGGTAGGCTTTTTCAGTAGAGAAGACTTCTCCGCTCTCCTCTTGGCTCCTCCACAGCCAGATCCCACCCAGGGGCTGAGGCCGGATCCATCCACTGGGGCCCTAAACCCTTTGCCAAGACCTTGAGGTTTTTTGGGGGAGAGTTGTGGGGCTGTGGGGGGAGTGATGGCTCCATTTGCAGCCGGGGATGGGTTCTGGCAGGCGGGATGTGATGCTACTGCGAGCCCAGCCGTGGGCAGGAGTTGCTATAGGAACGGAAAGCGGAGAGCCTACGGCTTAAATCCAAGCTCTGGGAAAACCAGGGGGCCGGGGAGGGGGGGTCCCCACTTTTGGCAGAGGGAGCAGCCCAGCCTGCTGGGAGCGGGGAGATTCAAATCCTAGTGGGCTGCTGCCAAGGATGTGGTCTAACAGGGATCTCAGACCTGGCCCAGGCTGCCTGGGCATATTTCATGGCCCTGGATCCAGTTTTGAGGGCTGTGGTTTTTAACAAAAACACCCAGATTGAGCTGTATTTAGCATCCTCGTTGGCATGGCAACTGCAGGGCTAGCACAACTGGCTCTCAGGCTAGTCATACGCTGGCAGAGAAAACCCAAGATCCCAGTTTGCGATTGCCCAGTTAATTAAATTCCTTCTCTTCCTCTCCCCCTTGCCCAGAAGCAAAGCCTGGAGTGGAGATGATGGGAAAAGCGTCCCGGGACTCGCTTGGCTCTGCCTGACCCCTTGGGACCTGTCCAGTTGGTCTACTGGGATCCAGTTTGATCCAATTCCTTGTTGCCAGTGGTCTCTTGAGCACATTAAACTCTGGTTTTGATAACAGCCTGGTGGGGTGATGTCTGTAACGCGACAGTGGTGGCCGGGCTGAGCTCTTCCTGCATTTGGGTTTCCCCTTCTTACATACGATTTGCCAGCAAAAAAAGGTTAAACAATCATTTTTTTTCATTCAAGACCAGGCTGGACGGGGCTTTGAGCAACCTGGTCTGGTGGGAGGTGTCCCTGCCCAGGGCAGGGGGGTTGGAACTCGATGATCTTTAAGGTCCCTTCCAACTCCAACGAATCTATGATTGTGCAGAGACTCTCTCATGGCTTATTCTGAGCGCTGGGTGCTACGTTGTGCCTCTTCCCCACAAAATTCCCTGCTTTTTTACAGCAGGATGCGGGGAACGGAGGGCTAAGGGATGTGCCTCTGAAGGGAAAAAAATATCCAAGAATAAAATGAGCTGGTTTATCACCTATTTATTAGTGCAGGGAGGTGGAAGGCCACAAAGCAACGCGCCCTCTGCAGCTCCATGTCCCAGCCCCAGCCTTAGCATTTGGTTGTGGGGTTTTGTTTGGCAGGGGTTCTCTCTCCCCATCCCCATCCCACAGAGTGGGGCCCCTGGATCCTGCCAGCACCTTGTCATGGGGGTCAGGGTGCCCCGATGGGTTCGGGGTGGGGGGTTGACCAGCTCTGCAGGCATGGGGGAGCAGCAGTTAAACTCCCATCCCTGTGTCCTCCTGCTTGTCTTAACATAATTTTTCATAAATTTAATTTTAAATTGGCTTGCTTTATAATTATTTTTTTCCCCCCCTGCAGCCTTGACTTCAGGCCAAAGAGGAGCAGGGAAGTGTTTAATTAGTAAGACAGTAATCAAGCCAGCTGCCTCCCCAAATCGGAAAGGCAGGATGCCAGCAGCCCTGGAACCGCTTCGCGAAAGGTCTGAGCTCCCTCTGCCATCCCCTCGCCTAAGAGAAGCTGGAGCCAGGGAGCAGAAGCAGCTCCCTCTCTGCAGGGGACTCGGGGTGCCCCGGGGTTCCCCCCACAGGCAAGGCATCCAGGATGAAGGGGGGTGCAGGCAGCCCCTGGGTGTTATAGAGGGCGCAGGACTGGTAGTCGCAGGGCCACTCGGCCCAGGCGTAGCGCAGGGCGAGCACCAGCCTCCCGCAGCCAGCCAGGGCCAGCGTCACTGTGCGGGACCCCACTGCCACCACGGGTGCTGGCAGCCACCTGCACGGCGTGGAGCAGTAGACCTGGTGGGGGGAGACACCTCCGTCAAGGCGGGGGCTTCCCTTTTCAGCCCCAGGGGGAAGCTCTCCCCCTTCCTCCGCTCACCTCAAACGCCCGCGTGTCCCTCTGACGGCAAACGAGCTCCTGGCTGTAAGTGAGGTTCAGCAGGCCCTTGGTCACCTCCAGGATGGCCCGGGTTGGGTATGGCCCCTGGAAAACCACATCCTTCTCCCCGTATGCCACAGCCCTGGCACCCAGCTGCAGCCGGTGGGCCACGTTCTGCTTGTCCCGGGGGTGGACACTGCCGAGGAAGAGGAGGGAGGTGTGAGGTTGGTAGCCCATGGCTTCATCCCTGTGTCCCTGCCGCCCGGGACTTACCTGCCGTAGGGTGAGTGCTCATCACAGAGGTCCATCGCCACGGCCATGAAGGTGCCAGGCAGCCTGGCATTGGGGACAACCCCCAGATCGGCTGTTTGGTGCCAGCGGAGACGGGCGAAGCTGTCGTCCGGGCTCTGCCGGCGGTAGGTGGACAACTGCAAGGCAGAGGAAGGGATGGAAGCAGCTCAGCCATCCCTCCCCAAACTGACTGCTGTGGTCCTTGCCCGGGATTCTGCATTTACGGCATCCTCTCCCTCCTGCTGCCTTGGACGTGCGAAAGGATGGATAACCCGCCCCCCCC